TGTGTAAATACATGTATTTTACAGCATTCAGAAATGATGGATGTGCTCACATCCTTCCCCAACATTATCGTTGATCTTTAACTACTACGTAACCAGGCAGCAACAGGTGCTTTGTTCTTTTGTTTTAGCACAATGGATTCAGAGGGCCCTGTTGGGCAAGACCCGATGGGGCTGAGGGACAGAATAGCTCTCCTGCAGCATGGCTGGAAGCCAGAAAATCTGAAGAGGACCTGGATGCTCTGGTGTCCAATATCCAGTGCCAGGAATGTCACAGCCCCCTCACTTTGGAGCAGCTCATGTATTACAGGACAGACCTACTAAGAGAAATGTTCACATGAGCTCAGAACACACATTTGTGCCAGATTTTTGAAAGAACCTGGATCCCGTTTAGATAACAAAATAAATGGCCCTGATACACTGAGAGTGTTAAATATGAGAAAGGGAGTTGAACAGTTTTTGAAACAGGGTAAGAATTTTAGCTGATATGCTTAAACAATCTGTCTCCTAACAAAAGGAAATCATGTTGAGGGTTTTAAAAGGCATCTAAGTGATGCCATCATACAATATACCTATGACTGCCAGGTACCCAGTCATCACTAGGCTGAAATGTATGAGAAGTGCAGCTGTAGCCAGACCTGAACAGCTGTACTAACCTTTTCCACTGTGTGCTGGAAGCTCTGGGGCCTGTGGATGGATGGAACAACATTGAAAATCTGTGATTGCTATTGATAATTACCTTATCTTTATTATCTGTCCTATTCATGCAGCAAATGTGTTATAAAAGAGAAGGGGCTGTCAATTTGCTCAACGTGAAACTCAGCATATGGGCAAGTTCCTGTGTTGCATAAGACTTTATTCTTCCCTAGAAACTGTGGAAGGAGGGTGTGGTAATTTGTCTTTTAGGAACAATGTTTAGTTAAGCTTCTGGAATAGTTGTCAAGACGATTATGGGTAGAGAAAGCCCATAAAAATTTTGAAGATCATCAAACTATGTGAACTATGACTTGCAGAGTAGTGGACATTCACTGACTGCATCCTGTAAGCCAGGAAAAACAAAGTTTAGGTGAGGTAGATTCAAAGAGGGGAAAAAGGATGATTCTGGAGTGCAGGCAACTAGTTCTGCATTATTGTTATAGAAATGTATATAGAAATAATGTTTTTATAAAATAACTGAGGGGGAGAGTTAATTGAAAACTGTATTTTTAGGGAGCATTAACTGTATCTGATCTTCTTACCATTATAAGTCCTCCAGCAGTACAGCTCTCCCCAGACAGCTGCCATGAGGAGAGATGCTTGGAAGTTGGGACAGCCTCAGGAGATACCCTGGAGAGTGGATTGCAGTGTTCTGGGAAATCACCCTGTTCACCACAATAGATACAGAGAATCAAAAGCATCTCTGATAGCCACAGCTGCTGTATTTTGGTCACAGGGCATTTTATAAAAGGGTAATTATGGATTCAGATAGCTACTCTCATAAAAATTGTAAATGCTGTATGGGATCCCAAGAGACTACTTACTTCACCTTCCTGTCCTGAAAGAGCTCTAATGATGGAGATGCCATGGTCTCTCTGGGAAGTCTGATTGCTTTACAGTGCTTCACTATCTACATAATGTCTAACCGTAGCACCTTAGGAGACTGAACCCATGATTTCTTGTCTTACCCAGAACATTCATGAAGAACAGATTGTTTCTTTACTTCATTCATCAGGCTGTGAAAAATTTTGCCATATAAAAATTTAAAAAATCATACAATATTTTAGGTCAGAAGGGACCCCATGGAATTGCCTAATCTAACTTCCTGCTCAAAGCACGGCTAACTTCCAAGGTAGCACAAGACTTTGTCCAGTTGAGTTTTGAGTATTTCCAGGGACAAAGATACCACAGTGTCTCCAGCCTCCTTAATCAGCCTCACATGACCCTGGATTGGCTCAACCTTTTTGTAACAGGATGGTATTCTTGGTTTATGATCATCTTGGTGACCTCCAGCAATTTACAGGCCTTTTTTTCTGTAGGATGTCTGTATTTCAGATAGAATGGACTAATTTCCTCTCCTGTGTTTAGGTAACTGATTATCTCTGAAGTGCTGCATTTTGCATTTGATCACGTTGAACACCATACCATTTATTTCTGATCCTATTTCCAGACTATTTTGAATGACAAACCTTTAGCATACTGGCAGCCTATCCAGGCATGATGTTGTCTGTACATTCCATGGTAAAGCTCTTCTGAAAATATAATACTCTCCTTTGGCGGTGGATAGAGAGGTTAATTTATTTGCACCTCTCCCACAGCAGTGACAGAAGTGTAGACAAAGCATCAATCTGCATTGGTCTTTGACAATAATTGAACTTTGTAAAGATAAAACAGCAAATGGAATTTATTCAAAATCTATTTAAGAGTGATTCCAGTGTGTTTGAGATCAAGCATGAGACAAGTTAGCAGCAGAGACAATTGATCTGAGGCCTTTAGAGAGAGAAAGAATGTTTAAGTTGCTTTACTTGAAATTATTTAGTTTTTTAAGTCATGGTTTGAAAGCTGGCTCTTGGTGGGAGCTCTGTGCACACAATGAGCATGTTTGGCCTTGAGCTCATGTATCTGGTTTTAGTTAAGCCAGGCTGGCCACACTCATTCCACTCTGCTCATGATCTCATTCCATGCTCCTTGTCATGATATCTGCACACCATCCAGCAATATATTAAAGCATGAGTAACATGTCTTATGTTGATTATTCTGTCACCAAGGGAGAAATGTGTCTTGTCTGGTAGGGAACTCAGATTGTTTTAAACAAAGCTCTATACTGATGCTGGAGAAAAGTCAAGAGCTGCGCCTTGTATTAGAAGGAAGAATTGGCAAGGCGTCTGCTGGCCCTTGGGTAAGGCCATTTTGGGACTCACACCAGCTACAACCAGAGAAAACCATGGTTCCTGCACTGCTGAGCTCTCCCTGCGCTGTGGAAAGGCCATTTGCCCTGCTGCCAGCATGCTTCATCAGCTCATACGCTGTGATACTTGGGGCACCTCCAAATTCTCCCATTAGTCCAGGAAGAGAAACACTCCTAACAGCCTTTATTTTGCCTTTAATGAAATGACCAGGTTGGTGTTAGAAATAAAATGTGCTGTGTGTCAGCTGAGTGGAAGAAATGCCTCCAGGCTGTAGGGAGGAAAGGAAAGGCTTGAAAAACTTGTTCAGCTGCTCAGTGTTCATATCTGTGTGTGCAGTGAACGAGCTGAACCCTGTGCCCTGCTGGGCCTGTGCTCAGTGTGTGTTACCACAGGGCAAGTTTTCTGCTTTGGTCATCTGTCAGACTGGAGGGGAAGGGCTCTTGCTAGTAGCTGTCATTAGAGGATGCATCATTCTCTTTGCTTATTTACTGAGCTGAACTCCAGCCTCAGCTCCCATCTGTGCTATGAAGGAGGTACCTCTTTACAGTACCTCAAGTGTGAGAACTCCAGAGCCCTTTATAGAGTCTAATTTAACTTCAGTGTGTGCCTGGAAGCAAAGTGCTCCTTTTTTTTGGAGAGGGGTGAAACTGAGGGACTGATGGCTTAGGCTAATTGCTTCTTCTCTCATACACAGTCCTCAAAACAGATTTTGACTCAAACATGACCCCTTCCCAGTTCCTGTGTTGCACCTTCACTGCTCAGTCTTGTTCTGCTAAAAAGAGCAGGAGAATCTGTATTTTTGCTGTTTTTCACAATCCACAGCTGGCACTAGCAGCCCCTGTCTCCCAGGTTTGGTCAGTAGCCTCCCTGCAGAGAGGAACTGGAGGACCTTTCTGGCACATGGGGTTTTCCTGACCTCCCACTGCTGCTTTTTCTCTGGAGAATAGCCTCCAACTCATTGAGGACACTGTGGATCCAAACTCTCTGTGCCTCTGGCTCCTTATATGGTAACATGAAGAAGTCTGAGCATTTTAGTTCTCATTTCGAGTTATCCTGGTTGTCTTCTCAGCTGGGGAAATAGAAACTTTAAAACCTTAGGCAAGCTGGTTCTTACCATCAGGAAACCATCCCCTTAGTTCAAGCACGTGTGTGCTGCTGTCTCACCACTGGCTTAGCAAAAACCAGGCTGCATTGGCAGCAATGAAAGTCCCCTGCAAAACCTTTGCAGAAGGTAGAGTTTTAATCATTCCAGTTTTTTTTCCCTTCTGGAAGGGGCTTTAAGATATGGATTATTACAACAGCAGAAAGAGACTGAGATGGGAGGAGGGTGCCAGACAGGCTGTGGGACAGAGGTGGCTTTTCTAGCAGAGAGTGCATTAATACTGATGGTGGGCAGTGGGAGCAGGAAATAATGGAGCTGGGGACATCTAGAAGAGACTTGAAGAAGCTTTGCACTCTTGAGCTATCACATCCAGACATGCAAGTGAAGAAAACATTCCTGAATGATGGAGAGGTGTCCTTGTTCATCCTAGATCCAAATGCATTTTGGAGACTTATCCCTACCTCTGACAGAAGCCATGCAAGAAAGAGGCAGAGCAGTGAGAATAACTGATTGCCAGACCCTCCTGTTTGTTTCTGAAAAGTCTTTGAGTGATTTTACATGAATTTATTGAAGCCTGGAGTTGTGCAGTTTTGCACTTTTGACAAAGGGATGTGTTCTTGTGCTGGAGTCCAGCCCACCCTTCTGCAGGCTGTGTCCTCTACTGCTACAAGCCTGTGGCTGGCTCTAGTACTGGGGGCACATATGAGCATGAAACCACATGGGAAGTAACTGCACTAAATGATTTGAGACACATTTAAGGGCAGAAACAAAGGGTTATGGTAGCTGAGGGAGCTCCAGCCAGTTTCAGGGGTTGTGGGAGTTTGATGTCCCTTCAGGATCAGCTGCTAGCATTAAAAAGAAGGCATATGAGGATTCTTTTGTCTCCTCCCTAGATTTCATGCTGATGAGACCAATCCTGACAAGCACTGAGAGCTGCATACCCCTGCCATGTACCCCCAGTGCCTTGTCAGCCTCAGTTTTTAGAAGTAACCACAGATTTTTTCTCTCACCCGCAGGTTCCACCACCTTAGCGGAGCGGCTGGGACTGTCGGCACCGAGCTCGCCCTCATCCACACCCAACTCCCCCACCGTCCTCTGCAGTGGTGTCTCTGGCCCCTTGCTGTCTACGTGTGGCTCTGGCCCCCTCTGCAGCTCCATCAGTGGTAAGAATGGTGGGATCCCCTGCTGCCTTCCCTTTGCCTCCCTTCACAGTCTCACACTTGTCTCCCAGAAGGGCTCTGAAACCACAATAATCAACAGATTATTATTATCCCGTCAGCTCCCCTGGGGAGGAAGGGAGAGCCTCTGCAAGGGCTATTTTCAGTCTGTTTTATGTGGAAGCTGCTTGGATGCCTAGACAGCAATATTTCTCTTACCCTTTTCATCGTGAAAGATCCCAAGGGAAGCAGAGGATTTTCTGCTGCACGCACGGCCCTGTGACGCAGAGCTCCTTCTGGAGAGCTGTGTGGCACTGACATGTCTCACACTAGCTTGGACTGGAGCTAAAGGTCTGCCTACACCTCCCCTTTCTCCCTCCACACTCCTTCAGTAAAACACAGTATTGCTATTTCTAAAGTGCCAATAAAGTACAGATATTTAGATAAATGCACATGCAGTAAAAAAGTGTAGGCTGTTCTGCAGCACTTCTAAAAACTCCAGACACCTGCACAATCCCAAGGCATTGATGGTGGGCTATGTAACTTACCAAATCTTTGTTGCATGGGAACAGCTGTCTCTAGGCTTGCTCCCCATGGGCAGCAGACCCCAGTAGATGTTGCCTTCCTGCTGCTTTGAGCCTTGGCATGTGAACCAGGACTCGATGAGTAGGACAGCCGGTCACAGGAAGGAACCCTGGTCCTGGAGCATGCATTTCTGCTGGAGCATGGTTCGTCCCTCTGTGGCTGCAGGGCAGAAATTACCTTGGGATGTCAGCAAGAGGAGTGACCATGTTTTTTTTTGTGTTGCAGGCACAGGTCCCAACTCTCCAAGCAGCTTGCCTGAGTCACCCATCTCCCCGTCCGTCTCAGGGCCCTGGGTAGATGAATGCACCATCTGCTATGAGAACGTGGTAGACACAGTCATTTACTCCTGTGGACACATGTGTCTCTGCTATTCATGTGGGCTGAAGCTCAAGAAGATGGCCAATGCCTGCTGCCCCATTTGCAGACGGGCCATCAAAGATATCATCAAAACATACCGCAGCACTTAGAGCAGCAGCAGATGCCTGGTGGGGACTGGGCACATGGGGAGGAGGCTGTGAGACAACACAGGCCTTGGTCTTTATTCATCACCCAGGAGATTCAAAACTCATCACCCACCACCAACCTGACCTCCTCTTCCACGGACAACAGATGAGACAAGCTTAGATGCTGCTCTTCTACCCCCCAAGCAAGCCCTGTGGCTGAACTCCAGTATCAGGGAAGTTGCAATGGACTACTCTCCCTTGTGGATTTTAAACTTTATCTCAAAAAATGCCAGCCAGTGCAATCATCCCTTTCTACACCATGCACAGCAGAGTGGAGTCTCCATTCTTTAACATAGACAGCAAGTGGTAAAAGGTTCAGTGCTACACATCTCCTTCCAGAGGCACCCCACATGCAGAGACAGCTTAGCAGAAGAGAAGAAATGAGCAATGTGTTTCTGTGTACAACCAGCCTGACCAGAGGAGGCTCCTTGGAAAGGATTGAGCAAGGCAAGCATTGACCCAGCGAGGGAGGAGCAGTGAGCACTCTCAGAGCAGGGAGGCTGGGGCCAGTGCAGAAAAGAACCCAAGAGTTGTGAAGCAACACCCACCCCAAATCTGCAGACAGAAGAGCAGACTCCTGGCAGCCCCTTGAGGGCTGTCCCCAACTCCTCCTCCATTGCCATTCTCTGACAGAGGCTTTCATGGTGGTTTTGGCAACAAACACTGGCAACAGCTCTGCTCCTTCCCAGCAGCATCAGCCACCTCCTGACACCACCCAGTCACATGAGGAGCAGCTCCCAAAGCCCACCGCCACCAGCCTGCGTGTGGTCTCCACGCAGCACGAGGGATTCAGCAGCATCTCTTCTCCCCTGGGCCTGTGAGAGAGGGAGACATAACTCCCTCACCTTTCTCCCCCCTGCCATCCAGACAGCACTTGTGAGGAAAAACTCCAGCCTCACGGGGGAAGAATGTATAAACCCACATGTCTGTGGGTTACCTTTACTGGTAACTTTATCACTGTGCTTTAAGACAAAACCAGCCAGGTGGTACTCTGCTCTTCACAGCCACACCGGCAGGACACAGCTGTCCTTATGTGTTAGGAAGTAAGGAATGAGAGAAAAATAACTTGAGGGGTTTGGTTTGCTTTGGTTTATTAAAACAAATCTCCTTCTCTGCTGCCTGAGTGAGGAGCCTGGCTGTGCCCAGCAGGGACAGTGGTGGCCCCCACAGTTCCCATGCAAACATCTGCTGCTCTGCCATGGCTACAGGTGTGACCCAGGGCTGCTGGCCCTTGGGGCTGGGCTGTGTGGCTTGGCAGCAGCAGGAGCTGTCTGCCTCCCTTCCCAACCCATCCTGCTCCTTCCTGGGCTGCAGGGGAGGGAGGGACGGTGTCTGGGTCCTGAGCGGAGTCAGGGCTAGGGTGCCATGGCAGTGGAGTTTGCCCCCACCACATCACCCACCTGGCCAGACCAGGGAAGGCCATGGAGTCACAGCCTTCCTGCTGAGCTTTCCCTTGCACCCGAGCATTTGGCCATTGATGGGACGGGGGGAACAGTGTGGTGAAGGGATAACTATTTAATGTACACATGCACTTGCTGCAGGGGACATCATGTTCCCCCACCCCCCAGCAGCAGGTGGGGGAACATGACACCCACACTGGCAGAGCTGATCCTAAAAACACCTGGAAAACACATCCTTGACATCCTTGCTCTGTCTCTCAAGGAGATGCAAAAAGAGACTGCTCATGGGGGAGCACATTGTAGAGCCTTTCTCTGAAGGTGCCACCATCACTGCGGCCTACCCCGGGGCCTGCAGCTCCCCGGGTCTGCCCTGCTGGCAGCACTAACTTGAATGCTGACACTCTGGGTGACAGGGATTTATGTCATTTCCTGGCATACCTCTGATGTACAGCCCAAACCCAGCTCTGTCCCAGCTGTCAAAAGCTCCAGAGTTCGTGGCTCCCATTTCCAGATGGCCTCACTGAGGGGCAGGAGGAGGCTGGTTGGCACAACCTGGGGGAGTCAGAGCAGCCCTGCAAGGAGCATGGCTGGTCCTCAGGCACACAGCCACTCCAGCTGTGACCAGCACACACAGGGAGCCTTTTTCAGTAGTTACACAAACTCCAGTGCAAAGATTTCAAAAAGGAGGAAGCCAAGGGGTAAGAAGGTGTTGATAAAAGAGTGGATGTGGGGAAACGTGCAATAAGCAGCCTCCCGAGCCTTCACCACACCAGTGGGACCAGTCCCACTCCATGCAGGGAAAGCCAAGCAGTAAATTTTATTTTTCAAGAAATTCCATCCATGGGTACCAGTGCAGTGGTGTAAATTCCCTTTTCACCTTTTGAACTGAGAGTGTTTTAATATATCAACTGTGTTTGTTTTACTGTGGACCAAACTCTAGGAGTTAAGAGAAGCTGAAAACTCCCCCAGCATCTGAGTTCAAAAATTGGGGTTCAGTCCTACCCCTGCACAGGCTGGCCTCCAGCTGTAAGCAGGGAAGAGAAAAAGGCTCTCTCCATGGAGGAAAAAAAACCAGCAAAACCAGTAAAAATAACAAAAATCCTAATCTTTTGTTTTGTTTGTTTGATTGGTGTAGGTTCCCATGTACCTCTGTGTTGTGTCATCTGCATTTCATTGCTTTACTTTAAGATGTTTTGTGTTCTGTTTAAAGACAAGAAAAACTCATTGTGAATAATTGGATACCTGTGATCGTGAATAAAGTTGATTTAGATATCCTACAGCAGCACGGGTCGCTGAGGATTTCCCACTTCACGAAAGCAGCAAAACACAATGGCCAGCACAGTGTGAGGCTGAGGTAAAAGCAAGGGTGGCATGAGAGCCTCTTGCTTAGGGGGAGCTGGGGGGAGACATCTCAGACCTTCCTTTAGTTCTGGAGGATGAGAGGGCATTGGGAGGTGGGTATCAATATCCCCTTGGTGGACACCACACACACGTAAGGAATACAGGAAAGCACAGAAGTAAAAGCAAGAGTTAACATAATTTCTGAAAGCTTAGGCCTCACACTCCTGAGCCTCTTCCTGCCCTCCCTAGAGAGAAGTCACAGTTTCTTTACTCTCACTGCCTTGATTACAGTCTCTTCTGTAACCACAAAAAAGCACCCTCCACCAAAGAACTTGTGCTGTGAGGAGGAAAGCCAGGACATGCTGCTCTGCCTAGGAAGGGGCAGGTGGGGTGGCTGAAGATGAGGCAGAGCATCATCCCAGCCCTGGCAACATGCTGGGAAGGCCCACTGACAATCTGTGGTCTGGCCAAGCAAGATGCTGAGGTAAGGTGCAGATGCTTACTGGGTACATAGCAAGGGACACAAGGGCCCAAAGGGAATTTGGATTCTCCAGAGATCATGCCAGCTCCCTCAAAACCCAATCCTCTGCTGCAAGTATCTGCTCAGGAGCACACCTACAATACAACAAATGTGAGCTTTTTCTCCTCATCTTTTTGTTTAACTATTCAGTAGATGAGATTATCTGGATCACACTCTTGTCATGGGACATATTTGAGGTGGCATCTTCTCCCTCAGTGGGTATGCTCCATCTGCCAAGGGCCTGGGACAGCCCAGGAGTGGTGTCCTCAGCCTCTCCAGTTGAAACCATTCTACTCTTCAGTAGCCCTAAACATTCCAGGCTGGGTAAAGAGCCAAGCCAGCTTTCTCCAGCACCAGCCTGAGGAGATCCCAGCTGTTGGGACAAGGCAAGTCTGCACAGCCGTGTGCTGCCCTCCAAGAGCTGTTCCAGCTCCTGCTTTCCCGGGGACAGGATGACCTCTAGTGGGTCTGGAAAGCCTCCTCATTCCCTCAGGAGCAAGGGACAGGGTTGCACAGCACAGAAAGCCCTAGGACCTAGCAGCACTGACGTGCTGGATGTGCTGAGCCCAAGCACTGCCACAGATTAGGATGAGAGAAGTGCAAATGCTCTGGGCCAAACTCAGATCTCTTCCTTCCTTGGCACCAGCAAGAGGTACCGTGGCACATCTGCCAGGTTTCCCTCTGCCAACCTCAGCCTGTGCAGCCCCTCATGCTGCCATGTGCAACAGCCCCAGAGAGCTTTGCATCCTCATCTGCTGAGCATCGCTGGAGTCACCCCGCCCTGCCTGTCCTCCCTCCCCACATCCAAACCAGAGCTGCAATTTCACCATTGCTCCCCAAGGATTCTCCATCAAGACCAGCTGTGGTGCAGAACTGACCTGCCCCAGCCAGGGCACCCCAGCCCATCCCGCTGCTTCAGGCAGGGCTGCTCGGCTGCGGCACAGCCCGGGCGGGCGAGCAGGAGGCGGAGGAAGATGAGAGGGAGGATGCTCCGAGACTGGTCCAGGAGCTGCAGCGCTGGTCCAGCATCGCCACCTGGTGCCCGGCCCGGAGCTCAGCGCCGCTCCTGCCGAGATCGATTCTAACACTGCAAATACACTAAAGTAGGACCAGAAAAATTCAGTCTGGAGTGCAGCACAATTCTGGTAGCGGTTCTCCGAGAAAAAGGGGCAAGAAGTGAGCAATTAACAGTGAATTACAGTGTACAAGGGGATACATTAGTAAATAAATTGCATCAGCCCAAAAAAACCCCTTTCAAGCTGATTGGCTCACTCAGCACAAAGGGAAGAGAGGACACAGTTTCCTGTCACACTTGGCACTACGTTTGTGCCCAGGACTGTGTGTGCATCAGATTCAACTCCTGGCATCCTTCAGAGAGCAACAGGACTCCTTGGGCACCACTCACCTACACGCCAGCACAGAGGAATATCTACAGTCAGGCTTGGAACTGAAGAGATAAAAAACAACCTTGTTATCTCTCTATGTTACATGCCTTATTAAAACCTCCTTACCCAATATATCCCCTAATCCACTGCTTTTGGCATCCCCAAGAGTTGTCTCTGCATAAAAAATACAAAAATAAAGCATACACTAATAACTTTGGCCAGGGAACAAGACAAGGTCCATTTAACCTAAGATGAAATTTGCAATTGCATGAACATACACATTAAAAGTTATTTTGGGAAAGATAAATTCAGTGGAATTCAAGTGGAATCAAAACACTACTGAAAAAATTAGAAGAAAAACCCCAACAAAACAAACCAACTGGATCACAATTAAAAAGGTCAAAAATTTATTTTTCCTTAGGGCATAAGAGGCATTGTAAACAAAATACCAACAAACAAACAAACAAATCACAAGTCAATTCTTACAGTCTGCAAGCATTTGAAGATAGAGTACCCTTTTCCCACCTCCCCCCAAACACTGCAAGCCTGCTCAAATGGTAACAGGCAACAATCCTGGGCCCTGAAGGTCCAGGGAGTTTTGCCATGTCCCAAGCTGGGACTAAATTTCTCATGTAAGAAGGACACTGCATCTGTTTTATCAAACACTTAAAAAAAAAAAGGTCCAACAAAATATAAATATTACAGACAAAGATCAGATTTAGCACCACCTTTGGTCCAAGCAGTCAATGAACTGGGAGATGACAGGTACAGTTTGTTTAGCAAGTCCTTTCTGCCTGAGTCTTTGAAAACATTAGAGGTTCGTATTGCAAGAACTTGTAATTTCTCTGAGAAAACACTTCTCAAATTCTGGCAGTCCCTCACAATCTCCCAGGGTCCTGCACACAGGGAGGGGGGAGCATCCTGGCTGGGCAGCAGCACCCAGGTCAGCAAAGGTCACTCAGAGTGCTTGGCAGAGCCCTGTGGGACATGGCAAACACTGTGCCAAGGGTCTGCTCCTGCTGTGGCCCAGCAGAGCTCTGACTTCAGGCGTGGAGCAGGAATAGCACTGACAGCACGAATCCTGAATTTCCCTTTCCACCAACATTTGCCATCCTCCACCACCTGTGAGCTGCCAGGGAGGGAGATGGCAGATGCCTGGAAGGAGCTGAAGTTACCTAAATGTAAGTTATTTCAGCATATCTGGAACATGCAAATCAGGAGTTCTTTTATCAGCTGTAGTTTACTCCAAGGCCTTTTTAGGCTCATCTTTTCCAATACACATATGCCCATCAGATGCATGGTTCTGAATTTTTGCAAAGAGGTGTCACTGACCAGCACTAGCGTATGCCAGGACACAATCACAAGGACCTGTGACTTCTTAGAAGAAAAATTAGGTTAATACAGCACCTGGCCACATTTTATGCTTCTTACAACTCCCTCTCCTATAAGTGTCTAGAACTCAAATTGTCTTTTCCTTTCTTGCAGGAATTTTTGAGCAGTCCTGATTAACCATTATTAAATACTGTTCAGTTCCAAAATAACAACAGCTCTAACAAATGTCTATAGAGAAATGCTGAGATCTACTTTTAGACACAGTAATCTGAAGTCTTTGTTCTGCATCTTCCTATGTACAATTTCCCAAGACAGATGGTGTTTCTTATTCTCTGTTGAGAGACCCATGCCGAGTTTCCACCTTTACAGAGACATGATTAAAATTTCCCAGAAAAGCACTTGTTTTTACTTCTTTACTTTTACTGCTTTAGAATACACTGCTCTAGGGAAAAACCTCAACCTCAATTGCTTTTCATTGTTTTGCAGTTCTCTGAGCAAGCAGGTGGCTGTGGCACAGAGAGGAGGGCAGCCCCTCTGAGTGCATTCCCTGTCCCACACAGGGCACAGCCATGAGGACAGCTCTGAAATAGTTCTGGGCTAGGCACTGCAGTCAAGTAAAGTCTGCAAATTTGGATTAAGGGGGAGCTTATGCTTTT